GGGAGGGGAGGGGAGGGGGGACAGTAGGGGGTAGGAAAGGTAGCAGAATACAACAGTTACTAATAGGGCATTATGTAAAAATGTGGATGTGTAACCGATGTGATTCTGCACATCCAATCTGCATTTGGGGTAAAAATTGGGAGTTCATAACCCACTTCAATCTAATGAATGAAATATGATATGTCAAGAGCTTTGTAATGTTGTGAACAACCAATAAAAAAAATAAAGTGGAAAAAAAGAAACTAAAATTAAAAAACAACAACAAAAAAGAACAAAAATATTTCACCTTTTCAACAGGGAGGGTGCATCCAGAAGGTGAAAAGAGGGATATGCTAAGATCTACATCAAAAGAGAATCTGTTAAAGTTAATAGCTTTGGGACAGAAAAATACACATAAGGTCTCCTCTGAGAGTGTAGATTACCACTGTTCTTGGTTACTATATTGAGGAAACAATTTCTAAGATGACATTGATTGAATCTTAGTAATGAGTTCAGGCAAGGTAGAGAAACTAGTTACCAAGGAAAATAGACAAGGCTATAAAATTAAGAAGCCATAAAGGCAAAATTTGATTCAGTGAGAACAATTTTTCTACAAGGAAGGAATTGAGGGAGTTTGTAGTTAGAAAGGAAATCTCATTTCTTGACGTTCACAAGCATTTATCTTCACCATTGAAGACATTTCAACAGCACCTACCAGCAGACTGGGGCACAGAGCAAAAGCTTAGGAAGTTGTTGGCTGGGCAGGCTGTTTACAGGCTCAGAGTCAGGAGCTCTCCCACTCCTTAGGTGGGCTGTTCCACAGAATGTGATATTCTCCCCAGGCAGCTGGCTGAAAAGTACAGTATCCTCTCTTCACAGTGCTGGACGACACCTAGAAAAGTTTAAAATTAATGGTCAGACACATAAAAGTTGATATGAAATAAATTTTTAGTAGCTCTGTCATATCCCTGGTCCCTTTATTGGTACTATTGTACCATAATCATATTCCTTTATGATTTGCTTTGGCAATGAAAAGTTAGTGTAGAATGTTTAGGAAATTTTATAAATGGATTCTTTCCCTCTTTCTTCACACACGAGTGAAATAAATTTTCTCTTGAAAAGGGTGAGCATCTGAATGGGGAAAAAAACCACCTTGCTTCATTGTATTTACATACAACAAAATGGAACAATTTCAAAAGTACAGTTTGGTGAGTTTTGATAAATGTAAATATTCGTATGCTACAGAAGATGCAGACTTCCTCATAATCCTAGAAATTTCCCTGGTACACCTTTGATTTAATCATTCCATTCCCCACTTTTCCTCTATCCTGAGGAAGCCATTTTTCTGATTTTTATTATAATGAATGCATTGGAAACAAAATTGAGACAGGAGAGATTAGGGACCCTTGTCTCAAACCCCATCCCACCTTGATTAGCAGGTTTGATGTGAGCCTAAGGACCTACCTTTCATCTCATCCTTTTATGTTATTGGAGGAGCTAACTTCCACCAAGCATAAACAAGCTCCTGTTTTTCAGAAAGATTGCTTGACCATCTTGACATGCCTGGGCAGAGATTTAGACTATGCGAAATAGCATAAATCACTCCCAGTAAAATAAAACCCACCAAGGTGAATCAAGACCTCAGGAGCTCCATAAGCCCAGACCCACTCTGAGTTCATGAGCAGACCCATTTATTCTGTTCCTGCCTGTCCTTGCATCCTATCTTAATCCAATAAACTCTTAATTTTTTCTCTTTGACTTGGTAAATTCTTCTCAGTGTGTGGGAACTGGCCTTCAACCAAAGGTCCATTAATGCAGTAACACAAAAATTATATAGAATGTGCTGTTTCATGTAAGGATTCCTTCATTCAATATGATATTTTTATTTGTTTTTAAATACTAATCTATATTTCTTGTCTGTCAAGAATAGTTCATTCTGTCTTGTTTTTGGTGTGTTCTAGTAAGAGTTTTTCACAATCTATTTTTATATTCAACTGCTGATGGACACTTATGTTATTTCCAGTGTGGGCTTATTATAAATAAATATTTTATGAACAACTTTTAACAATTTTTTAATAGTTATGCTTTTATTTTTCTTGAATAGGAGCAGAATTGATGAATATCAGGGTAGGTGTGTGCTTAGCATAACTAGGGAGACTTGACAATTTTATGGACATCTTTCTCCACTTAGCTCCTCATTTTCTGTATTCTGAAACACCTCATATTGCACTTTCTATGACCTTTGATCTGTCCCTCTATAATGTAGTGATATTTTCATAGTCTGCTCATCTTATCGTACAACAAACTCTGTAATGTGCTTTCAGGAAGAAAACTGGATTATTATAAATAAATCTCATCTCCTTTTTCCTTTCTTCTCAGGGACCACAGTTCTATAATTCCTGCTGTCCAATATCTAAAAAAATTGTCTAAATATTCTGTTTATTTCAGATGTTTACAACCATAGAACAAGACAGCTCTCATGAATAGAAACAATATAATTATGCTAATTTCAAAATCTGGGTCATTTCTCTGTCTGCTTCTTTTGACTGTTTTTGTCCAAAATGTGGGTTATTACATTTTTTCTGTGTATTTTTATGTTTATTAGTTTATTTTATATTAATTGTTTTAAGTGATGTGTCAAAGAGACTGAATTATTTTATCCCCCACTAAATTATGATGAGCTTCATTTTAGCAAGTTATTAGCCAGTTATCTTGGTTTTATTTAGAGTTGATTTTAATTTATACTTTTTTATATGGCCAATCTACTTCTATGTTTTTAATTATTCCTAGGAAAAAAACCTCAGTTATGGGACACAGGTTTCAGTCATAAGGTATCACTCCTGGAATTCAGTGGAAAGTGTGCAATGGTTAACAATGTCCTCTAATTTGGCATGAATTGAACATCAAACTTCTCCCCACCAGCTGATAGCAATTTACATCTTTGTTCACACCTTTCTTCAGTTAACACTATTCCTCTTGGATTGTATCATGTCTTATCCTATGTGTGAATAATTTATATGTCAACCACAAGCTTACATAAGATTTTTATATTCACACTTTCTGGACTTCTCTTTTCTCGGGATTTCCCCCCCTTATTTTCCATGTTTCTAAGGCAGTTCTAATTTCAATATCTGGTTCTCCAGTCCAATGGGACTTCAGCTTTCTTGATCTCTATTCCCTGATGCCTTGTGGACTGGGAAGCATTCCTAAGAGGATCTCACCAAGCATGGTTGCCTTGCTGAAGGGTGAAAGCAGGTCCAGTTTTGAGTATTTTTCTTATTTCATATTGCTCCTCTGCTCCTTATGTTGTTTCATGTATATTGTCCTGAATTTATGATTGTTTGCAGTAGGTTTATATTTTAGTGCTTATTATTATTTAGTATGATGCAAACTGTACAAGTTACTCTACTACTGATGGAAAGGCAAGAATCTGGGCTTTCCTTGTAGTTGTACTGTATTAGCTGCATGATATAATATTTTCTTTTTAAAATATATAATACTCCTGACCTATAGTATAATGTGGGACCCATCTCAAATATCCATTTATGTAAGCATCTGACTGTAAAAGTTCTCTACAAAATAACAAATTTTAATGATCTAGTACCATCTCTCAAGATGAGTTTGAACAGCTTCTTAGAGTATGATGAATTAGTTCACAAAAATAAAGGTGTCTGTTAGTGACCCAAGACCATCAATAAGTTTACTATCTTTACTCATTTCTTCATACCTAAGACTATTCCTCAGGCACACTGTGTTCTTTATTCCTTCCATTCATTCATTCAAACTTTATTGTGTATTCACTATGATTCATTTAGTATTCCAGGTGGTGTGGATTAAAAGCAAATCCAGAGTACACACTATCATGTATATGATAGCAGGATTGGCAGGCAAGAAATAAGCTAAGACTGTAAGTATATATCATATCAGATATGTTCCATAAAACAGAGTAAGGGACTACAGAGTGACAGGTGCTATTTTAATTAGGGAAGTCAAAGAAGGCCTCTCTGAGGAGCTGGTATTTATTCAGAGATCTGGGTGGGGGAGAAAAAAGAGCCATGCAAATAATTGGGAAAAAGCACTCCAGGTGCAAGGAACAACAGGATATATGAACTAGAACTGGCATGTTCAAAAAATAAGTGGGATTAAGGCAGAATAAATAAAGCAGATAGTGTTAGAGACTATAGAAGAAGGCAAGGCTAGATTATGTTGGCCGTGAAATTTAGACTCTGATAAGTATAATATGAAGTCATGGAGCATTGAAAGCATGAGAGGGATATGATCTGATTTACATTTTTAGTAGATTTTTCAAGCTGCTGTGTGAAGAATAGACTTTACATGAGCAGCATGGAATAAGGAGATTATTTTCTGTAGGAAGTTATTACAGGAAACCATCCAAGAGATGACAGTAGCTTTAACAAAAATGAAAGCATAGAAACTGTTTTGTACCCCCATTTTTTAGCATGCTTCAAAGGGTTGTTTTATTTTATTTTTTTTTATGACATCGGAGAAGGGTCAAGCCATTGTAAACCCTCTCTTAAAAGTGTCAGGGCTCTGGGTGTGCAACAGCAATATGCATGTCATATAAAATGAAATTGCTTTACCATTCACAGGAATTTTGAGTAGAACTCAAGTTAAAATAATCAAGGTTACAGAAATGAAATCTATTATTAAAGATATAGCATTCATATTAAAACTAATCACATATAATGAGGCACATATGGAGGTTGTTCTAGCATAACAGCTTTTTTTTGTGGTCAGAGAAAGAAAAGTTGTCCTTTGTGTTGTAAAAGTAGCTATAAAATGTCTATATGAATATCTTGCTAATTTTTCAACCTCACTATTGAACTTTTGGTTGAAGCACTGTCCTGGGAGACTTGAACTTTGGGTTTTAGCTTTATTATTATTTTTGTACCCAAATGAGCAGAAACTGCTATAATTGGGGACCTACCTGACATCTTCTAATTTGGGGAGAAATAATTGTGTAAGTGAAAGAGGCAAAGGAGGAAAGACTTAAGTAGAATCAGCAGCCATTTATTAAATATTCTCTGGTCCTAAGCACAAGAACAGTTTATAGGAGAACAGAAACATTTAAGGAAGCTAGGACTTATTTTTTAAAAAAGAAAATGTCTTGTTTATTTAGTTGTAGTTGAACACAATACCTTTATTTTATTTTCATGTGGTGCTGAGGACTGAACCCGGGGCCTTGCATGTGCTAGGTGAACGCTCTACCGCTGAGCCACAACCCCAGCCCTTAATTTTAACCTTCAAAGGGAAATAGGGATGTTTCTATGTCTAAAATCCAGGTGGCCATTTAGCTCCATAGAGAAAATAAATGTAAGGATTAGTATTTTCCCTTTAGTTTTGTTCTACTGATTTCCATCCAACACGCAGAAGGCACATGCTATTTGGAACCATTATATAATCATTGGTTTGTGTAGTTGAGTAGGATGTTTATCTGTGAAATTTGTTTCAAAGAGTTCAAGCTGAAGAAGGGTGAAACCCTCAGCTATTGTTAGTGGTAATAACTGCTATGGGGAAATGAAGATGCTGAAACTAACTTTTATGATGCCTTGCCAGCCCTCAGCTTCTCCTGTCGCTTCCATGCTGAGAACAGAGAAAGCATTAGCTAATCCACAAGAGGAATCTCAGATAAGACTGTTGTGCTGAGGGCAGGCTGATCACAATTTTCTATTTTATCTTTTATCTAAGGTACCTCGCCCAACTTCTGATCAAAGGATCTCTTTGAACATTTCCTCACACAAAAAGGAAATGGCAGCTACTTTTTCTGTGGGTGCTAGACTTTCATAATATAGGCATAGTATAATTATTTGTCATGTGTTTTTACTCTCTTTGTCTCATGACAAAAGTTTTCAAGTTTTACACTTTTATAAA